GATGGCTGGAAGGCAATATGTGCCCCAGGAGAGACGCAGCGGGGATGGCTGCATTGCTGCTTGCTGCGGCAGGAGGTCAGGTAGCAATGGGGGAAGCATCATCCTGGGGAGCAGGTGCGGGGCAGGCTGGAGGGGAGGGGGAGCGCAGAGCTGCATGCTGGGGCTGCTGGAAGGAAAACTTTCTGCCAGCACTCATCTTTCCAAGGAGACCAGCAATGCCAGCTTGGCAGGAGCAATCCCTCCATTTCGTAGCAAAGAGGTGAAGGTATGAAAGCTGGACCCTCCTTAGGGCAGGAGATGATAGGATTTTGTTGTGCACCTGCAATGACAGGAGAGCTGAGCTCCTGGGCATGGTGTGGGCATTGCCACTGCACAGATGATGTGTGCTGCGTGTCTCTTGTGTTGTGTCCAGGGCGGCGAGGAGGCTTTGGGACACACTCAGCCTGGCTGGGTGGTGGTGAGCAAGGGCCTGTTCTGTCCCGTGCCTCAGTTTCCGCATCTGTGAAATGGGGTAATTGTGATGAGCTCACTCACTAACTATTAAGGTCACTGCTAAAGGTGCACCTAGGGGGATGGGACTTGACTTTCCTGCAGTCGGTGAGCACCAGGATCCGTCCCTCCAGCATCGCCTCTCCGGGTTTTGTTTGCTCCGACCACAGGCAGATGCAGAGGATGTGCAGAGGGTCGGACGCAGAGTCACGTCAGGTTTAAATGTTTTTGCCGCATGCATGGGGTGTGATCCCGCTCAGCCCAGCACAGGAGCTGGGCTCGGGGCAGAGGCGCTCAGCCCCCAGAGCTGCCTTCATAACAAGTCGTGATGCCGCTCTGCCTGCTTGCTCCTGGCTCTGCCGCCCTCCCTTCCAGCAGCAGTAAATCCTCTGGAAGAGCCTCCGAAAGAAAAAATTTAGTAGGACACGCAAGCGGTTAGCCCAGGAGCCTCCGAAGGGGCCGAGATGGGGGGAAGGACTTCGCGGCCTGACCCAGATGCAGTGCACAGCATTTAATTAAGTTTGACCAGCTCCAGTGCCAGGGGTCAGGGTCAGCCCCAGCAGCAAAGCCCGCCGAGGCGCCGGAGCCGCTTCGTTTGGCACTTGGACAGGTTGAGCTCTGCCCTGCCTGCGCGGGGGGTCGCAGCCCTCTGTCACATCGTGGGGACCCGCTGCCTCCGCGGCGCAATGCGGCCGGGGTTGGCGAGCCAACCCGTGAGTTGTGGGTTTTCAAGTGGGCTGCGCCTCGGAGTTTTACAGGCTTCATCTGCTCGTTGCTTCGTAATTGCAATTGAGTTGTCTGGCCAAGTGACAGCGAACTGCCGGGTTGCAGCTGATGCCTGGATGTGTCCCCGTTTCTGACGCACCCATCCCTGCAGCCCGGCTATTCAAGGGGCTTTACAACAGTAAAATCCAGCATTCATTGCCCTCCCTTCCAGCCTGCCCCAAAACAGAGGTGGGAGGAAGAAATCGGTGCTTCCCCATTGCTGCCTGCCTCTGCCAGGCGGTGCAGTGGGGCAGCAGCTCGCCTCCCCAGCTGCCGGAGCCGGGCACCGGCATCGCAGGCAGTCTCCTGCAGCAGCTAAGAGGAGAAGCCATGGGCTTGATTTATCCATCGGGACCCACCAACCTTCTCAGGCCAGACGTAAAACCTCTGGTTTCCTAGTGTACCTCTGGATTCTTTGGTACATGAGAAATATGCTATTGCAGCACTGGATTTTTAAATTGTTATTTATTTTTGGACAATATAAGCATCTCCCCAGCACATGCTTCTGTTGCTTTCTCTGCTCTCACCCCAGAGCAATGCCCCCAGCCCCGCTCTCACTCAGGAGCTGCTTGGGCTCAGTCATGTTATAGCCCTGGGAAGGTAGATGGGAAAGGCATCAGGGGCAGTGATCGCAGAATCGAGGAAAGAATTTGGGTGTGTTTCCTCTGGAGTAAATCTGGCTTAAAATTATGAGCGGCTCTGGATTTTATTAAAGCCCTGAAAGCAGTGCTTGGCTTCGTTGGCCAAATCCAGCAGCGTTGTAAAAGGTGGTGTAAGCCCACACCTAGATGCAGGAGCCTAAGCCTGGGTGACCTGCAGAGCCATGCTCAACCCTGGCTGCTCCCAGGGGCGTTCTTGGCCATCACCCCCCTGGGGACATCCAGGGGTGAGTGGGATGGAGGAGTCTGGATCCAGACTGGAGCCCACTGGGTGTTTCAGCGTGGATGGGGCAGGCGTCTTTCTGCCCTCCATCCCTGGGAGCTTCTGCTGAGTAGCCCATGGTCAGCCCAGGTGGGTGCCCTGGTGGGTCTGGCCTCTGCTCATGGTCACTTTCCTGGTCACCTTGGTTGCTGGGAGCCAGCTCTTCCTAGAGCATCCCCTTTTCCTTACATATCTCCAGTATAAAGCCAGATTTTTCAGACCAGTGACTTGTGCACCAGCAGCTGAGCCTGCTCTTGTGGGAGTCTGTTTGTCTGTCTGTCTGTCTGAGTGGGCTGTGCTCTTGCCTGCCTGCGGCTGCTGGGGTTGCTTGGCATCCCTGGATCCACAGGCAGCTCTGCCCAATGTGAGGAATTAGGAGTTGTTTGATTCCTTGGCTTCCCAAAGATGCATCAGCAAAGGGGTCCAGGGGAAGCTGTGTCCTGGCTGATCTCCTAAGCCAGGCATTAAATGTGTGGCGTACTGTAGGAAAGGGCTTGGAAGGAAAGAGCACCGCACACTGAAAGCCATCCTGTCCCTGCGCTGTCCTCAGGGAGGGGGCACTTACCACACCCCTGTACTTAGGAGTGGAGCCCTGAGATGATCCTGCTCCTGCCCTGGCAAACCTTTCCCAGCCCACTCCGAGCCCTCAGGTCCCCAGAGCCCTAAAACAGATTCCAATGGGATCCTGGGGATGAGGAGAAGGGAGAGACCCGGGCACTCTCCCTCCCTGCTCTCCCAGCAGGCACCCCCTGCCGAGCAGCCGTGGGCAGAGCCACAGCCCAGGGGCACATCCCTTGCTGGGAGCCACGGGCCATGGGGCTCTCGGGGGGGAAAAGAGTCGGGAGGGAGCTTTAAGGAGTGATTAACGGCCTCCGCCACGGCAGGGGCCTGGGGCAAAGGGGCCCCACTCTTTACGTG